CACCACTGCTACCACCACTAACTACGAAGTACTACCTTCTTAGTAGGTACCTAGTAGTTAGTTATCCAAAAAGGCCAGACTTAGTCAGGATCTTACTAAGTTTCTCCCCCGCGGCTGTCGGGCTTCGCTTCCGTCCAGTGGTTGGTCGATCCGGTCTTCTGACGGCTCACTGTTGACGTCGGTGGTGTAGTTTGTCTGTGTTCTGTTCCTTCTAACCTTGAAACCTACCTTGCCCTTCCTTACCCTTACCTTGCCTCGACCCTCTCCCTCTCTTCCAACTCTTGTCTACCTACCTACTCCGTACCTACGGCTCGACTCTCTCTCGACTCTCTGGTTCATTCCCAAATTAACCTCTATTATCCTTTTTTCTTCATTGATTCTCTTTTTTGATTTTCCTTTTTCTTTTTTTTTTGTCCCCTCCCCCCCTCTTTTCCCTACGAACGCAAGTAGTCGGAAAAAGAGGATCCTTTGCTTGCCATCCCCACCATACCCACTTCTCTTTCCATCTGTCTCTATAAGCCACTTTTGCCGCCTCGCCCTTCTTCTTTACCCTCTCCCTCTTCCCTTTCACCCATCTCGTCTACCTTTACACCCTATTTGTTCTTTTTCTTCTATACGTTGTTGTAATCACCTGTCTTGTATCAATTTCCTCCCCCATTGTCGCCTCAAAATCCCTCTCTCCTCTCTTTCTTCTCCCCTCTTCCTCGTCCTCTCTTTCTACATATAGCCGCTGTTCATCCATGTGTGGTTCAGCATGGATCTCAACAAGCGGCTCTTTCGCCTCGACATCGAGAACAAGAACCAAGCACCACCACTCAATTTCACCATGGTCACGACTCCTCCAGACGAGGATGAAGATGACGAACTAAACCACCTGAAACTCCGCCAAGAATCATCGAAACCGTCGCAGATTGATGTCGCCCAGCGCGCAGACGGCGTCGCAAATCGGCAGCCGCTCGACCATACTCTGAGTCGCATCTATCGACTCACGCCTACCCCGACCGTCGTGTTGGACGCTTCGTTGCAGGTCGTGGAGGTCTCGGATTCACATTTGTCTTTTGCAGGCTTGTCCAGGGATGTGGTACTTGAAAGCTTCATCTGCGATATCTGTCCCCGTGTCATTCCAGCCCTCGATATCGCTACATTGTATGGTGCGCTTCGAGCAGCGATCACGTCGCGGGACATTCAAATGGTCGACAATATCCACTTGGACGAACCGAACTCGTACTACTCACTTCGCATAACACCGATTTACGAGAAGAGCAGTTTACTCTACATGGTACTCGAAGCGCACTCCATAGCCAAGAAATTCTCTCATCCTACCAATAACCACCACTCCTATGTTAATGATACTTACAAGGTGCTGCTGGACACTGTCAAGGATTACGCCATCTTCATGCTGGACACGCGAGGCAATATCGTGACGTGGAATTCCGGTGCCGCCATATTGAAAGGATACAGCGCCCGGGACATTATCGGGAAGCACTTCTCCACATTTTACGGGAAGGAAGACCGACTTGCTGACAAGCCGGGAAAGGAACTGGTTGTCTGTCTCCGAGAGGGGAAGGTTGAAGACGAAGGCTGGCGGTACCGGAAAGATGGATCGCGATTCTGGGCCAATGTTTTGATCACTCCGATGTATGAGTTCGGCCGGCACATTGGTTTCACCAAGGTCACGCGTGATTTGACCGAGCGCAATGCGGCGGAGGCACGCATGATCGCGGCTTTCGAGGAGTCATCCAAGCTGAAGACCGATTTCTTGGCCAACATGAGTCACGAGATCCGTACACCCATGAATGGAATGCTTCTCGCGCTCACGACACTCATGGAAGCGGGCTTGACCGAACGTCAGCGTGAGTACGCTGCTATTATCGAGGACTCAACTTCGCTTCTATTGCAGGTCATCAATGATGTCTTGGATTACTCGAAACTGTCGTCTGGCTCTTTCTCATTACATCCTGATGCGTTCAGTGTCGACAATGTCACCGGGGCTGTTGTGCGCAATTGCAAAAGCACTCTGAAGCCCGACGTGGAGCTGAGCAGTTATATCGCCCCGGGCTTTCCTTTGCAGGTTGAAGGTGACCCACTGCGGTACCGTCAAGTACTCCAGAATTTGGTGGGAAATGCAGTGAAATTTACCGACAGCGGATATGTTAAGATTTACACCTCTTTCGCTGAAGACATGGCTGATCCGACTGTATTCAACGTCACCACGGAAGTCTTCGACACGGGAGTGGGAGTCCCAGAGGATGCGCATAGCTCCCTGTTCACGCCGTTCACTCGCTTTGCTGACTCGAACACGAGAAGATATCAGGGCACAGGCCTTGGTTTGTCAATTTGCAAGAGCTTGGCGGAGCTTATGGACGGTAGCGTGGGATTTCGACCGAATCCCGAAGGCCGTGGCAGTGTGTTCTGGATGACGACGAAGATGCGACGGGTGGATCTCAAGGTACCATTGAGGACCTTCAGCCCTCTTGTGGAAAACGTCGAGGATGTCGAGGCCAAGATTCAGGCTCTTGCACCCCAGAAGTACGTGCTGCTTGTTGAGGACAACCTGGTGAACCAAATGGTCATGCTCAAGCTTCTCAAGAGCATGGGCTTTGCGCGGGTTGATGCTGCATGGGATGGGGCGGAAGCAGTACGACTGGTGAAGCAACAACCATTTGCTTACAACCTAATCCTCATGGATATCAACATGCCGATCCTCGATGGTGTCGAAGCCACTCAACAGATCCGGCAAATGGGCTTGGACGTCCCGATCATCGCGCTCACCGGCAACGCGCTCAAGGGAGACGCGGAGATGTACATGGCCAAGGGCATGAGTGATTACATTGGAAAGCCGATCCATCGCAAACAGCTCACGCGGCTGCTCTGGAAATGGATGGGCACCTGATAGGGTGTCGACAAGTTCACTTTGCTGTTGTTCTGATCTGTTGTCTTTCCAACAAGCGCGCAGCTAATCCGATCGCTTTAGACCTGGCACCTGCAAATATGCGCGAAGGGCTTGTCTCAATTCATGGTTGCACTCCAGTGAAGCAGCAGCCCAGACAAGAACCCTTTTCCTGAGGTTTCTACGGCCACAGCGTGAGAGCTTCTCGCTCCTCGCTCCCTTTATTGCCGTTTCCACTGTCTACCAGCAACACTGTTGTTGCACTGTTGCTGCATGAAGCAACTAGACAGACATGCTAAACTGATGAGTAATGACCAGCTCATACCACAAGTATCACCTTGCGAGCAAACTTCCGTGAGCGCTGGAGCGCTGCCATGAAAAGCATGCATGCTGCATGCATGACTGACCATGACCATGATCCCTGGTCCCGAACGTGTCCTGTGATGACACCTTACAATCGGGGCTTATACATACTCCCCGACTGGCCATAATCAAGGCTTCACTACACAAGAAGTCACATACATACTGTACTCCACATTGTGTTCATCTAACAATAATGATACATTTGCGTGAACAAAGCCTCATTGCCGGTCAATGGGTTGAACAAATGACTTTGAATTCTCATTTCCCCAGTACAAAGTGCACACTCTACCCTAATTCCAGCCGATGATCCTTCCCCACATTGGAGCCCTATGACCTCCCACCCGGCATCGGCATCAGTCCTAAATAGAAACGACCTCCGATCCCACGTCCCCACAACCGGACTAATTCCCATCCCTTTCACGTAGTCTAGTTCCCACGCTCGTTCACCAAAAACCAACAAAGCGCCACACCCGAAGATCCACTACCTTAATCCAGATGGGGGGGCAACGGGACTTTGGAGAAGTCAAGTGGGCCCCCTGACCCCCTCTGGCCCCCCTTGACTCTGCTCTTGAGTAATAATGAGATAATAATGATAACGAAGGTAATAATATCCAATACTAACATCCACTATACGTGAGTAGTATTCAGATCCATGGATCCCATCCCCACAAGCTTTCCCACCAGCCGGGCTGCATCAGATTCAGAACCACGTGGAAGGGGGGCGGGGGCGTGTCATTCCTACGAATATATGAACTGGTGGAGGCTACTAAAATGAAGCTTTCTGATGAAGCGATCAAGTAGATTTTCCGGACTTGGCGTCGGGGGGGGGGGCGGTTTCCCGCACGAGTGAGGTCCGTCAACCTGACTGGACAGAGTCCATCCGGTTACAGAGAGAGACTTTTAGATTGGTGAGTGGCAATTCTCGACCCTACCCAGGTACCTACTTACCTAGTAGAAGTACTGAGATGTGGTAAGGTGGCTAGGTGTAACTTGTTACTGTACTGCATTATACAGTAACGAACATACTACATACCTCCTGGCTCTTTATGGGGTTATGGGAGATGCTACTGGCGAGGAGATAGATTCAGGTACTCAGCTCAGTCAGGTACTTGGATTTGCTGGCGATGATGAGGGTTGATGGTCGATGGTCGATTTCAACTTGTGGGTGAGAGTGTTTTGTGTGGTAGGTGGGTGACTTAGAGAAGGCGCGGGGGGGAAGGGCATCTTCTAGACGTAAAGAAGGCAACTTGGAAGTAGAGTTGAAGGTCCCGGGGGGGCGCGGGGCGATCTCATCCTCGAGGAGGAGGATTCCGCTCGGGTAAGGAATTCATGTCAAATAGAAACAATGTACAGATGGATGCCTTAACCCACCACTCAATGGTGTCAGCTGTCTCTCTTGTTTATATCTCCAGTAGGTACTGAACCGCCAGGGGTGTGCTTCGATTCTTTTTGTTTTTTGTTTTTCTTTCTTGGTTTGGTGTTTGTTCCCACCGGTCCAAGCCCACGTCAACAGCCGTAGTAGGAGATGCCTCAAGCTTTCGTTCTACTCCAGAGTCTTACTACTTTTCAACTTGATTTCAAGCCTATACTTAGAAAGAAAGCGACAAGGTAATAGTGGAAGGGAAATTCTATTCAATCTATCCACCTCAATTCATTTATACACATATCACATCATATTGGACGGGTTCTGGTTCTTTTATATTCGCTCCCCTCTCAACCATTCATCAGAAATAAGTGACCAGCACATTTAAACCACAACCTTGTGGGAAGCAGGCTTCTCCTCCTCCTCACCGAAGATGTTGATATCCCAGCGGGGCACGTTGGCGATGTAAGGGGTGTTGTAGCGTCTGCGGTCCTTGCCCAGGGCGGAGACCTTCTCGACCTCCTCAGGGGTGAGCTCCACCTCCTGGAAGTTCTCGGCAATGCGCGAGGGAGTGACCGACTTGGGGATGACACTGTGGCCGCCGACCTGGGACCAGGCGAGGATGACCTGGGCGGGGGTGACGGTCTTGCCGAGGCGCTGCGAGGCGGACTCGGCGACTTCCTTGACTTCGGGGCGGGTGACGAGGAGGGGAACGCCGAAGCCGTTGTTACCGAAGGCCTGATGGGATTTCATTTATGATTAGCTTGGGGGAACTAGCCGAGGTATGGGAGAACCGAAGCCAACGTACGGAGTAGGCGGTGATGTGGATGTTCTTCTTCTTGGCGTACTCAATCAGCTCGGTGCTCTGCAGGACGGGGTGGCGCTCGATCTGGTTGACGGCGGGGACAACACCGGTGGCGTTGATGATGGCCTCGAGCTGTTGCAGAGATTAACAATCTTGTTCACTCATTGTTGGAGGGCAGGACCAATCCTTACGTGCTCGACCATGTGGTTGGAAACACCAACGGTGCGGGCCTTGCTCTTGGGGAGCTTGGTCACGGCTCTCCAGGTGTCGACAATGGAGATCTCGTCGCTGATGGCAACGTCACCGCCCTCGACGCTGCTGTTCTCAACCAGAGGGAAGTAGTCGTTGCCGCGGGAGAAGGAGACGGGCCAGTGGACCAGGTAGAGCTGGGGCTATTAGCGATTGCAGAGCCGCAAGGAGTATCGGTATCCTACATCGAGGTAGTCGAGCTCGAGCTCAGCAAGACACTCGTCCAGGGCCTTCTCGACATCGTCGGGGTGGTGCTGGCTATGGGGGGTTAGTCGGGATCGAGCGTGACGAGTTGCTCAGACTGACCTGTTCCAGAGCTTGGAGGTCTGGTACGAGTTAGAACATATACACCGATGTCAGGAGATGGTTATGCGCACAATGAAGATGTCCTCACGCTTGAGGCCGGGGATGTCCTGGAAGGCGCGCTTGATACCCTGGGCAACCTCGCGCTGGTTCTGGTAGCTGGGGATTGTCAGTATGGATGAGTGATTTGGTTGTGTTGAATGGCTTACATGGTGGCCAAGTCCTAGATCGTGTTAGCTTTTTGGTTCCATGCAAATGGTGCTTTGAAAACCTACCAAGTGACGGTAACCGGCCTTGAGGGCGTGGTAGACGGCCTCACCGACCTGACCGGGGGCGGACTGCCAGGTGCCAAATCCCAGCTGGCTGGAAGAGGTGAGTAAATGTATCTTTGATGATAAATGATGAGTAGGCGAGGAACTTACGGGATCTCGTGGCCGGAGCTGAGAGTGACCTTCTTTCCGAGAGACATTGTAAATGAGGAGAATATGATCGATGGACGTGGAGAGAAGGAACAGGGAAAGGAGAATGGTTTCAGGGGAATTGAGGAAGAATAAGAGAGGAGAAAAAAAAGGAAGAAGAGGAGGAGGTTGCGAAAGAAATACGAGAGGAGCTCGAGTGGGGGGGGGGGGAAAGAGGAGGGAAGAGGAGGGGGAGCGAGCCGTCACGACATCTAGAAAGAAAGTAGTATTTTTACCCCGCCAGTCGGTCTCAGACTCTCAATAGTCAATCAGTAAGTTACCCCTCGGTGGGGCCAAGCGCGTGGGATGGCCTCAGGTTCATCCGTTCAACCATTTCTGGATACAGGAATTGTCGAGGGAATTGTCGACAGGACTACTCTAGTCCGGTCCAGACAAAGCAGGTACCCTCATCTCCGATAGGCAGTCTTCGTGTGATGCAGTGTCATCAACAACTCGCATCTACAGCTGCATCTCGTAGGACCATGAGCCGTCACGGGTGAGTGCAATGCAATGCAGCATGCACTCACACACATCTGCTGGACTGCTGCACTTTGACATGATGTCACTTGGCGATCCCGACAGCTGAACAAGATTGAACTTAGGTACTCAAGTAGAAAAAGATTCCTCCGGCTTCTTTCCCCTTCAGTTGGACCATCGATTGGTGGAGACGACAGCCACAACACCATACTCTATTGGGGCAAGCGCCGGAGAAATTGGGGTCCTCCAGTCTGGGACCGAGAACAGTCAAAATAGCCTCCACTTTCCTCCGCCCACATGAGAAGCGAAAACGTGGGGGAGGATAAGGGGGGAAGTTGTAAAGAGTACGTACTCCGTACACCTTCGGGTTAATCCTCCACCGGAAGTCCCTCGTCCCCGCTCGGAGAATTACCCGTTCGGGTCGACCAGTTTATACTCCCACTCCGCTCCAGCTAATGTCGATTCAACTCTCGGTTAATATCCCGAAACAACACCCGAGCGAACTATCATGGATTTGTTCAGATCAATCGTACAGAGATAGAGAAATTGTTATATTATAGTAAGATCACAAGTTCGTGAGTTTGGGACCGGATAGCACAGCTTCAAGGTGCCCCCAGTATCCACGATAATCTGGAATTGGGGTCATTGGAAGGAGGTACACCTTGAATATCGCACCGCTCTCGATCCTGCAGAGACGGTCACAGACCCCCAATCAGATGCACAGATCCATGTGTGCCGGCCAATGGATTGCTCGCTGCAGAAGTCCTGAGTCCATGCGGGTCGGTCCTGCTGCACCGAACATTCTAGTGCAGCCCTATGAACCAATGCTTCGATTCTTGAAAGATGCGGGACTCCCGCCATCTGGCACTGCCTGCGCCAGGAGCTTGTCGAATGTCATAGCGAGTAGTGAGGAAATGAGAAAAAGGCACACAGGGGTGGATGACTCTGCGCGTCGGGTATAACTTTCGACAATAAAGATGAGACACGCGCTTCACTTGAAGGAAAGTAAATGCGAGGCTCTACATCGTCTGTATCATTCTCAGCTATTCATGTGAATTGGCCTGAGCTTGGTGCTGAAGGTGCAATGCGGAGATAATGCAGATCGTGCACAAGGGTATCTGTGCTTTCAACGCACGGCCTACCGGGCTGCAGGAAAGGAATGCTCTTAGTAGTTGGACTATACGCCGTGACAGAAGAGAGAGGTCTACAAAAGAGGCTCCTGCCGCTAATCTTCTTTTGGCGAGAGATGAATTAGTGTGCTTTTTCAGACTTCTGGTTGCAGGCATATATCCTGTGGAACATGTATTGGTCCTGCAGTCCACATGTGTCGATAGAGAGACTTCATCTACTCAGTAGCAATTGATCGACTGATCGGTCTCTCAGCCCCCCCCGGGCCATAAAATGAGCTTCTGGAGACCAAAGGATGCGGCTTTGTCCCCGTACCTGCACACCTATCTATCCCTGGACTCAAATCCTCGCCAACTACTACGTTCCTAGTTGCAGTATATTCTTAGATCATTAGGCCATTTCTTGGCCAGGTTCTTCGCATTGTAAATTTCCTACTCCTGCGTCGGCAAGGCCACGCTGTTGAGCGCGGCCTATGCTTCATCTGCATGAACCCTGTCAGGTACCCTCAAGTGAAGCAGGGAGACGGAAGCCAGAAGATACATTCCTCCCGCCAAAAGGAATGGCAGCCCGAACCATGCGGGCCCTAGCCGCAGGCCCAAACGAAACGCGTACGCCAGAAGTGGACTGGCAATCACCATCCCAGATGACGTGATAGCTGCAGCTGACGAATAGAGGGTTCCCACGCGGTCCGGCGGGACCAGTGAGGTCACAAAGCTGCGGCATGACACTGCGAAGGCAGCGCCCAGAGAGAACAGCACAATGCCCAGAATTACTATGGCCCGCGATGCGGCCGTGGCGATGACGAAGAAGCCAAGAGCGGAGACGAAGCTACTTCCTCGAGCCAAGAGTAGGTCTTTCAGCTTTGCTGAAAGTTCGAAGTACCGGATCAGTAGGAAAGACAAGCCTGGCATAATGAGTAGATAGTTTGCTAGTATGATGATACCGCGCAAGGAAATGAGGAGGCTAGCCTGCAAGAATTGTGAGATCATCGAAGCTTGTTGGAGAGAAAGGTGACGGCCATGATGTCACTTACATCGGCAATACTCCAACTGAAACGTTTCGACGTATATAGCAGCAAAAGGCTCGTCGATTGCTTGCTGATGGACGTGACAAACAGCGCAAAGAGACAGATGGCGATGGCTGGGCTGCCTATTATTAACCTGGCAGAATCCTGGAGGTCCTGGAATCTGCCCTTGATATACTGCTTCACTGAGGTCTTTCCATTCAGAGACGACTGTGTCTCGTCTTCACTGGTCACAGTCGTCAGATCAATTTTAGATTTGGCATCGTTCAGTGTTTCCGGCATGAGAAACGCAGCCAATGACCCGAGAGTAGATACCCCAAGTCCGAGCATGAATGGCAGCCATGGATCACTAGCCATTAGATATGCACTGACTGGGGTGGCTAGGACTTCAGACACAATCACAGTGCTGGTCAAGCGGAACAAGGCTGTAGCTCTGAGGGCGAATTAGAGAATGCGCCAGCATAGAAGGGCTATCACATACATCTCTTCCTCGGAGAACAGGTCCGCTACCATGACCAGAGCAATGGATGAAAGGGTGATGTCCCCGCCGCCAATGAGCCTCCACATTCCAGACAGCCAGACCAGCCGCAGTGGTAAGACAGTGGAATACAGGCCTTATTATCATTGTCTTAGCCGTAATACAGTTCATGTAGGCAGGAACCGGATCCCCACTTACACACGATGCGGACCCAGAGCTCCCCGAGGAGGGTCCCCAAGAGACCAAGAAGGAGAACTGGTTTGCGCCCCCAGCGGTCCGCCAACACACCATACGGAACAGACAGAAGAATGCCTAAGATGTAGTGCCATCAGCCTATTGTAGTATCGGCATAACGTGATTCAGCTGGTCATCATACCTGGTAAAACATCGGATGTCTCTTTCCATCCATTTACGAGAGCCAACTCACTCTGCACCGGCTCAGACTTACAAATTCCTTCTGTCGGAACTGTGTCTGCTGGGTTCCCTAGAGTAGTCAGATAGTTCTGGCAGACAATATCCTCAAATATCTTAGTTTGAGGGGCGGCAGTCAGATAGAATCCAAAATCCACGGCTAGAATGAGTATGGACGCTGCAATCATCACGGTCAATTTTCGGGACCTCGATGCGGACGTCGGTCGAACTCTGTTCGCCTCCAATAAAGGCGCACGCTCATCATGAGTCACTATCGTATCGGACGCGTCTGCCATTGGAATTTAGCCAAGTGATAGCGTCGGGCTCAATTCTGTCAAGAACTGAATACCAATCGACTGAGATGAAGCAGGAAACGTTGGGGAAAGATTAAAAGGAGCTGAAGGATGAGGTATGTTGGGGGGAGGGGGCGCTACCTCCTGGTAATTAGTGCCTACCCCTGCACATATAGATTAACCCAGAGGACTAGAGTGAGATAGCATAGGAAAAAGCATAAGCTGACTGATAAGCGTCTGAGCGGGGTGCGCTCAACCATACCGCCAATAAGACCAAGCATTGAAGAAGGTTTTAATTTGCTTGAGCATATTCCATATTGGAGGATTTATACACATTGTTTAGATCTTACTCCAACCAAGTGGGAGGGGTCCGGAGTGGTGGCGATATGGCTCATCTGAAGCAGCAGGGCATGCTGTATACGAGTGCTCTGTCAGTAGAGTCAGATGTTTGAACCTAGATGGCACATGAATGACAATCGAGAGTATGGGAGTTGAGACGAAGTACCGCATGCGTGCTGTCCTGAGGTTTCTCCTCGATAAATAGCTTTGGCCACCCACATCAATCTGGGGACGATAAGCCACACGTCTGAGCCAATTCACCAGTCCTGTAACTAAATAATTACCTTGATATACACCCACATCTAATTTCGAGAAGTTCATGATGATTATTCGTATACTGCAGTTAATACTTCGAATAACAGAAGAAAAGAGGACCTTAAGATATTAACTGAAGTATGCTGTGCTTATATAAGCATCGCAAACTGAATCCTCGGCTCTGGCACTTTTTCGAACCTGAACTCGCCAACTCCGCGGTAGAGCTACAATTCTGAAAATGTCCTCCTTTCGCGCATCAGCTTTTCAGTCGCTATCTCGGAGCAGAACCTCTTTCCTCCGCTACCAGCAAAGGAGGTGGGCTCAAGTACACGATGTCCGCTTTCTCGCGACACACCATGACCCCAAGCAGGTGCTGGACAGGTACAAAGCCAAGCTTGACCAGAAAGCCCAACAGTGAGTCAATGGCAATCCTCACAACCTCGCGATCACGATACTCATATTGATATGATTAGGGAGGGTCATGAGAACATCGAGTCGCTGAAGGATGCCTACAAGGAAAAGATCCAAGACTTTCGCCGTAAAGCATCCACCTCAATCACCCCCGAACCATCGACCCCGTCTCCCTCCGCCACCGGGCCTCCTCCCCCTCCAACACCACCTCCCTCCCCTCAAGCTCAGGCTGCGATAAAGGCTACGGCCTCCGCGAAATCGGGTGGAATTAAAGGTCTTGATTCTTTCCTCGACGTCGAGAAGATTCGCAGCCTGCCACCCAAGGAAATCGAAACCCTCTGGCGTCTCCGGCACGCCAACAACTCCCACTCCATCTGTGCTTGTATCCCTGTGGAGACATACCAGCGCATTGTGTCTGCCGCGCGCCAAAATCCTCAATTCATCCTACCTCTGCCCCGTGATGCGACACAGGCCGAGGCCGCGGAGGGCGAGAACAGCGAGAATGCCAAGGGTGGTGCAGACATCCATTTCCTCCAGTGGGCCTTCCACCCCCCGGCATCAGCCCCGTCTCCATCTGCCACCCACGCTTCACTCGCCAACTCCCATACTTCCACAATCATCTTCACGCATCTTGCCGCCTACAAGTTGCATGGCTCCTTTGCCCAGCCGCATACCACCATTACCCACCATCTTGATCTCGCGGACGACAAGGGACTGGTCCTTATGCATGGTCAGGTGATGCCGGACTCTGGTGTGTCTATCACGGATGCCAGCTGGCTGGTCAGCTGCGTGCAGCGATTCTATGACTTTGGTGGACAAGCTAGTGGGCGGAAGGGAGAATTGCTACGCATGTTCACTCGGGGTGACGTGCAGAATTTCAAGATTGAAGAATTATTGGCTGAGGCCGAGAAGGTTTAGATGAGCCCTGGTCCGAAAAACTTGTGTATGTACTATATCTAGGAGTCGAGTCAAGTCATGAGCGTATTTCCACCTCGTATTGAAGCGAGAATTGCCAAGCACTGGAACCGTCCTCGTCCTCGTCCTCGTCCTCGAAGTCGGGGAATCCGCCGGGATCGGCGCTAGCGCCTTCCGAGTCCGGTCCTCCGTAACGGTGTCATATCACGTGACTGTACTGTACATCATGCAGCCCCGCGCGCCTCCCCCGAAGAGCCAACACGCGTCCAGGTTTCACCCACTGAGGACCCTGATTGGCACCAAAGCATATCTACGGGTGTACTAGCAGTACATGTTACAATTTATCTTTAACTTCTCAACTCTTTGTCCCAAGTGTTGGGTCCCAACCGTTTTTGTGTCGGTCGGAGAGGGGTCCAGATCGACGGAGTAACTTACCTAATCAACGCTAGCTTCAACAGCCGAATTCCTCCGGAGATCGTTCGATTCGCATCATTCTGCGCTCAGTTCTTGATTTATTTCGTAAAAACTTTCCTTCTGCCGCTGCATCTCCAGCTGCATTCCCAACCAACGACTGTTTCAGTAGCTGCAGGCGGCATAGTGTCGACGCCCAGTGGGAAAAGCTGTCTGACTATCGCCTCATCCGCCCAGTCTGCTTGCTATCAACGCGCCCACGCGCTGGCTGTCCCCAAAAAGAAAACCCGCCGCAACGTCACCCTCCGTCACACTGACCGGCCGATAAAGCGTCTCAACCCCGCGGTCATGAGTTGAGGGATACAGAAACGAGGCACACCCCGCGGCAATATTGATGATATTTGCTTTTTCTCTACTCTTCTCTCTATTCGGTCTCAACAAGTTCGAGTAACCCAAGACGCAGCCATGGCTCGGAGATACATGATCCCGTGGCTATATGACCTTGGGGTGTGGATTTTCACCCTCTGTCTGGACATTTTCTTCCGCGAGGTCTACTCTCGCGGTGCATGGCGGATCCCCAAGCGGGGCCCCGTCATCATTGTTGCCGCCCCCCATGCTAATCAATTCGTGGACTCGATCCTACTGATGCGCATCATGAAGCACTATGCTGACCGTCGCATCTCGTTCCTGATCGCCGACAAGTCTATGCGCGAACCTTATATCGGAACTATGGCTGGATGTATGGGCGCGCTGCCCGTTGTGCGGTCGATGGATCATGTCAAGCCCGCAAAGGGTGAAATCTACCTCCCGGACCCAGAGAACGACCCCACCTTGCTCAAGGGACGCGGTTGCGACTTTACGAGTGATCAGTTCATGGTGGGCGGGACCATTATTCTCCCCCGCGTAGGCAAGTCGAGTCCCGAGCAACAGGCAATCGAGGAGATTATAGATGCGAACACGATTCGACTGCGCAAGCCGTTCAAGACGTTCGAGAAGGACCACCCTCTCTATGACGCTTTGCGTAAGGGAACCAACTTCAAGATCGCTCCCCACATCAATCAGAGCAAAATGTTCGATGCGGTGTACCGCGAACTGATTGCTGGTGGCTGCATTGGTATCTTCCCCGAAGGTGGTAGTCACGATCGCCCCAGCCTTCTCCCGTTGAAGGCTGGTGTGGCTATCATCGCTTTGGGCACACTGGCGCTGGATCCCAACTGCGGGCTGTCCATCATCCCGTGTGGTATGAACTACTTCCATCCGAACAAATTCCGCTCTCGTGCCGTGGTGGAATTCGGAAACCCTGTTCAGGTGCACCCGGATCAGATCGAAGCGTTCAAGGCTGGTGGAAACTCCAAGCGGAACGCGGTGGGCTCTCTCTTGGAAACGATCACAGAGGCATTGACCACTGTGACACAACAAGCTCCTGACCATGAGACATTGATGGTCATTCAGGCCACTCGTCGACTGTACAAGCCGCTCAGAATGAAGCTGCCCCTTCCGGTCGTAATCGAGCTCAACAGACGTCTCCTCAAAGGCTACACCCAGTTCAAAGACGAACCTAAGGTACTTCAACTTAAGAAAGCCATCTCTGATTACAACCGGCGACTTCGTGCTGTGGGAATTCGCGATCACCAAGTTGAATGGGGCGACGTCAAGCACCGCCCCTGGTGGCTGGTTCTGGGCACCTTGCTCTACCGTGTCGGCGAACTTCTGACCCTGGCCGTTGGCACTCTACCCTCCGTCGCTCTATTCTGGCCTGTCTTCGTCACCGCCAAGGTTGTCTCCGTGAAAAAGCAACGTGCTGCGCTTGCCAACTCTGTCGTGAAACTCGAGGGCCGTGACGTCGTCGGCAGCTGGAAGATCTTGGTCGCCATGGGTCTCGCTCCAGCGCTTTACACTTGGTACACCGTTATTGTGACCATCTGGTTACACTACTGCCGCCACGATGGATTCTACGCTTCTGTCGTCCCGTGGTGGATGAACGCCCGGACTTACATTTCCGACTCAATCCCGCTGGCGCTCTTTTCCATCTTCTTCTTCGGCCTCATGATCTCTGTCTCCTTCGCCGGACTCCGCATTGGCGAAATCGGCATTGACGTCCTCAAGTCTCTGCCCCCTCTCCTCGTCGCCCTCAACCCTCGCTCCGCCAGCTCGCTCGCCAAACTTCGCGCCGAGCGCCAAGCTCTCTCTGCTAAAGTTGTCGACGTAATCGACAACTTCGCCCCTGAAATCTTCCCGGACTTCGAGTCCGAGAAACTGATCGACCACGAACATCCCGGAGACGATACGTACCAGTCCCGCCTCAAGAGTATGCCCCCCAGTGAACCCGAGAGCCGCAATCGCAGCGCCAGCCGCAACGGACGCAGCCGGTCCCGCAGCGCTGGGTTCAATCTGTACGAGACCTTCCTCAAACCTCTCAGCATCAAGTCCAAGGATGACCTCGGCGAGGTCAACCGCCGCATTCGGGACTCGATGCAGGAACGCGGGCGCCAGCGAGTTCGCGAGGAGTACGACCAAGACGGGGAGGAAGAAGTGGTTTCCTTGGACGGGTCCGCTAGCGTCGGTAGTGGCGATGTAGTTGTTGTCGAAGAGATGAAGAAAACGAAATGATTTAATGGCGTGTGTTTTGGGTGGCGACCATGATTTTGAGGCGATAGGCTATCTAGGCTGTTCTGTCACACCCTGAAGTCGCTGTGACTGTGCGAGTGTAATTTGGCAGCGATTTCTTTCGGTTAGTCTGCCTGGACTGAGAAGTCATGTTAGTGATTGTTGTTGTGGATGTCGATACCCTCTCTCCATCGTGCTTTTTATATTTACCATTACTATGACTTTGTTGTTCTATTAGGATTCCTCCGTGATTTATGCATGTCTCATATCTCCATCCTGTTGCGTTCTGCGGGCCGATTGATGCATTATGTTTCTGTGTTTGATATAGGTAGCAAAAAAAAAAAGCGAATGAACAGTATCATGGAATTTTATTCTAATATTCTTCAAGCAATAGACTGCAATGGAGACTCGATGAACCCACTGTCTACCATCGATACCTGGACATGGGTTGCTTTTTCTCCCGCATTGATTGGTTCTGCGCTCTACTCCGCCCCAACATCTCCATAACCTTCCTTAATGTACAAAGAGTACATGAATATCTTCGTATCCGTCAGTATAGACCTGAAATGTAGTCCTAGTTAGACACGACGCTTCCCCTACATCCACTTTCCTCGATGAATCCAGGGGTGTTATGTTTATCATCAAGAGGAGTACGGATAACTAACAAATCGGCATTGCTTTTCTTCCAGCCCGACCTTCGGCTGAGTAGAACTCGTAGTAGGATTGCGACTTGATATTTGTTTTCAGTCATGAAGAACCGCTTCCGCATTTCTCAGCAGGGGCTTCATTCAACAGGCGCTGAGACAAACTCGTCGATATAGGCTTTCTCACTGGGGGTTGGGAGAAATACCAATCATCACCGTCTCCATCCGTGTTGGCATCGAGGTTGTCTTTGTCGCCCGAAGCATCCCCATCGCCGTCGGTAGGTAGCATTGCTGGCGACGCTTGCGCCCGAATTGGCGGCATCGGTTTGGTCGATAGCATCGGGTTGCCCATTGGTGGTTGTTGCGTCGGCGACACCACTGGGATTATCGGTGTTCTCAATGGTTGCAGTACTATGACCACTCAGATTCCTCGACCACAATGTGTTATGAAACTTTTATGTCTCTTGGATGGCTTGCGTCTCGCTGCCGTAAGCGCTCTTGAAGGGTCGGAATGTCTTTGTTGCGCTCTTTGAGACTCTGGAAAGTTTTGGGCGGGTGCTGAACTCGTCATGGCTTGGGGAAATGACTGTGGCGTTGCGTGGGAGGTTCTCGTCGTCTCATTGTCTCTAAGGATGGGCGTGAGGGTGCTTTTATCTCCCTTGCCCTCTGAGGTTGACCCTCTGAGGTGCGGTGGGAGATGTGATATTGGAGTCTGATTGACTATATGAGATTGGAGAGAGAATGGTGTAGGAGAATGAGGAAGAGACAGGGAGATGGAGAATGAGAAGAAGTCAGTAACGTGGCGGAGAACCAATGTCAGGGTAGGTAGGGGGATAGGGTGAATCATGGGAATCATGAATCACACAGGGAACCCAGGAAAGCGTGTCCTTCTGTATAGTGGAATCTCACTTGAGGGGGCTGTAGTAGTCAACAGACACATATCAATATGCCGTAGTCGAGATATTTACCACCTCGGTAATGTACAACATATAGACAGGGCATCTAAAACCTATTCAGAGGATAACAAATGTTCAAAGTCAGATTCATGGTCTAGTAAACCAGGGACGTCAACCTGATACTGTCGAGTCGAGGCTATACTAAACTCTATGCAGCTAGGGAAGTAGTGTTGTACTGCATCTACAGGGTGTACGAATAAAAAGTCTCAATCAATGAGGCAAACAAAAAGATTTAGGAACATTGCAGAGAAGTAGACGACTGTACTGTTAGTAACTAGTGATGGTGATGGCCGGCCCTGTAACCTGCCAAGGCGGGATGGCGCCATAGAGCGGTGACGAGGGGATGATGGATGCCTGACAGGCTTGGTTACCACCAAGGGGTGGGGGAGTGGCTCTGCTCTTCCTCTTGTTCCACATGAAACTCCAACCTGGAACCTTCTTCGACATCCCCATACCTTCCCTATCTGAATCGAAAAACAAAACTTGATTTCTATCGCAGAAAAAGTTTTTACAAGGGGAGAGGCACACTGGTATAGCTTATGCGCTTTCTGTTCATCATAAAGATATGTGCGTGTATTCATGGTCTAAATGACTTAGTACTCTTGAGATGCTTATGAGAAAGAATGCTGATGATATGCTTTGCTCGCTGGGCTAGGTTTATGTCGTGATTAAGTGGTATCGTCAATAGCGGGTATCGTGCTAAAGGGGTTGGAGTTGCACAGCAACTCGAAAGGGCTGGTTTGAGGTATGGTCAGGACAAACTCGAACATGTGACTCTGTTTCAAGTTTCCAAGGACAAGAGATCAAACACGCTTGTCGAGCAAGAGACCTCCAGTAGGGGTTTTGCTGGCAAACCCAGCTTCACGGTTGAAAACCTTCTCGCCACGCAGCCAGGTCTCGCGGACCATGCCGCGTAGCGTGCGGCCTTGGTAAGGGGAGCACTTGTTACGGAAGAGCATGGTGCTGGGCTCGACGACCCATTCGGTGGTATCGTCAAAGACACAGATGTCTGCGTCGTGACCGGGAACAAGATCGCCTTTCTGGTTCTGCAGCCCCACCTGACGGGCCGTGTTGGCGCAGCAGAGGCGCACGATGTCCTGGAGAGCTTGCTGGGTCATGGTTTCGTCGGTGCTGGTGGCGAGGCCTTTGCGGCGACTGATTTCGGTCCACAGGATAGGAAGACCCAGGCCAACAGATGAGATGCCACCCCAGGCCGAGAAGAAACTACCTTCGTTGGTGGCGGGACTTTCCGAAGTGCAGCCCCCAGGCACATCAGCTGGGAGAAGCTTCAAGTCGGGTGTGCAAGGCGAGTGATCCGACACGATGGTCTTGATGACACCGTCATCGGCGTGACGGTCTACCTCTTCCCAGAGGCGATCCTGGTTGGACTGCGAACGGATAGGGGGGCAGCATTTGTGACGGGTATCACCGTCTCGGATCTCCTCGGCAGCCAGGGATAGGTAGTGGAAGCATGTCTCAGCGGTAATGGGCACACCCTCCGCGCGAGCCTTGCGCAGCAACGGAATTGCTTCCATTGCCGAGAGGTGGACAATATGCAGAGGGAGCTTAGGAGCTAGATGGGACAAGGAAAGGATCTCTTCAACAGCGCGAGTCTCATAAGACGACGGACGAGATGCGAGGAATGTGGAGTACGCCTCAACGGGGCCTTCCGGTGCCGGCTCCGTCTCTCCAGCCATTTCTGCATGGAACATCAGGGTTGTGGGCTCATCAGCTAATTCAGCCATAGCCTTTCGGATGTCATCCGAGGAGACGGCGGGGAACTCGTCAACCTACTTAAGGTTAGTATGCAGATACACTATCAGAGACTAAAGATGCAGGGAAATAGCCACATACCCCGCTATCGATAAGGAATCCTTTGAAGCCACGAACACCTTCATTCACCAGAGCCTTCAATTCGCCGGCGTTGCCGGGGATGATGCCGCCATAGAAGCCAACATCCACCCAGCACTTTCCATGGGCTGCACGGAGCTTCTCTTTGAAATTGGCTACTGTGGTGGTCGGCGGGATGGCGTTCAAGGGCATGTCAATGACCGTGGTGACACCACCAAAGGCAGCGGCCTGCGTGCCTGTATAGAAGCCTTCCCATTCGGTACGGCCGGGCTCGTTGAGGTGGACATGAGCGTCAACCAAGCCAGGCATTAGGACATGAGGGGAATAGTCCGTGTATGGGGTATCGGCAGGAAAGTCGGTTGCAGGGATCACGGAATCGAAAACCGCCGTGATCTTTCCACTGGTGCGGGAAATTACGATAGTGGCTGCCGTCAAACGCCCCGAAATGACGGCGCGCGAGGAGACAATCACTGTGATTGACGGTATTTGAACGGGCTCCATTTGTGGCTATGAACTGGGAGGACTCGAGTATGGAGAGAGGACAAGGGATGAGAGGAGTCAAAGAGACAGAGCAGACAAAAGGTCGAGACAGACAGTCAGACTACCTCTGAACAATGGACGAAGATAAGGAGAAGAAGGGCTGATAGGCCGATAAGGCGGAAATGGCGGTAGGCAAGGGATTCCTTCCTCTGATAAGGCAGGCAGTGGGCGAGAAAACGATCGAGTCAGGCCCTCCGATAAGGGGTTGTTTAAGTATCCGACGTGATAAGCAGGCATTGTTCCTCTCCGCCTCGCCCGATTATCTAGTAGGCCAATCGCCATAATATTGATCGAGTAACAGAAATCGGGGCCCACAGCAGTGACAGATCCACCGGGTCTTCCTCTCATTGCCTCTCGTTCAACGGTTAAGCTCTGCACTTCGCCTGAAAGGTGCAAGCTGATCATGAGCCTCCTTATCAGCTGCTCTCGTGACTTAAAGAGGTGCTTGTGTCGCATCGTGGAAGGGTTTCTTTCTTTCTCTCTGTTCGTCTTTGCGACCTCTCTTTCATTGTTGCTCCCGTCAAGGCGGCAGACACTCGCGAAGAGGGGGGGGGAGGGGAGGGAGGCTGTGAAATGTCCGGGTCTGTGTGTTCTTCACCCATGGGTCGGATGTATCGGGCGCCTCCGGCATCCGCCATCGGGGGTCCCCTGGGGCGAGACAAAATTTCGACTTTTTTCTGCCAAAGGAGATGCTCTTACTCGATCAAAACTCGGAGGGGTACCTGAATTTGACATTTCGGTTACTCGATCAAAATTCTCCCGCGGCCGCGGGATGGTTGAGCATGGACCCTCTCCTCTTCTTCCCCTGTTGTTCCGGAGGTTTTGTGCGTGGCATGGGCTATGTGGATAAACATTGCCGGTCTCTCCAGAGAACCAAGAGGATCTAGACTGAGCGTGGATTTGAATTCACTTCTCCCATGATTAATTGCCGTACGGTACTCCGTAAAGTGCGGGAAACCACGCAGAATTGACCGCCTTGAGACGAGATTCTGCCGGTCTGTTGTTGATTAGGTTTGTGGATCGCCGCCACCACCACATCATTATTCCTGTCTTATGCTCACATCTTGTCCCTGCTTGTTTTCCCAGGGGGAGGCGAGGATGGTGATGGCATCTCATTATACTTCAATGAGGTCAGGTTGACTCGATGTTTGTGTTTGCCCGCAGGCCACTGCACCACGCCGATGACGGAAGATCAACAGGCGGTGTAGTGTGAATCAGGCCTCAGTGCCGATATCGAAGCGTCCTATGGATTAGGGCGAGACTCTGGTTCCTAAAATGGGTAACTAGTGCATGGCAGTAGTAAGTATGAAGCGAATGTCATGTGCAGATATTGAACCCCCCCTGTTTTCTTCTGCAGAAAGCCAGAATGAGATCAATTGCATCGGCTATCCCGGCTATTGAGCGTTTGGTAGGAAGTATGTGTGACAACTCAGAAATGGAAAAGCGGAGGGTGAGGGGAAGAGGGGAAGAAGAAGAAGTTGTGGACTCAGGCTGGACTCAGGCTGGACTCGACTGGCGGCAACGATCGATGCTTTCTAAAAGAGGAAATGGATTGCCTTTTGTTGGGTCACGTGTCGTCGTAGTGTTGGCGCAGTGGTTGCGATCATGAGGCCTACTCGAATACGAGATCATCCTAGTCCCGAGCATTGCTCTTCGCTGGTTCTGCGACACGATCACCGCTGCATGATGTTACAGGAATGCGGGCCTGGATTGTTTGATTGTTTGATTATTTGTCTAGATGTATAATTATCACCTAATGCGCAAATCATCAATTAAACGCACGTTACAGTCCGTTGATCCCGTCCTTGAATTGCCGAATGTCATACTCCTCAGGATAAGTCTCCAGAATACGCTTCAGGTCTTTCATCTGCTCTTGCGCCTCCTCGGTGACCTCCTCATACACCCCCTCAAAGGCAGACCGAAGTGGTGGTTTCAACTCACGCTCGGCCTCGCCGAACTCTTTCAGCACTGCTTTGCGAAGCTGATCGCGCGTGTCTCGCTCAATATCCTCGTTCCAGATCCCTTCGTTCTCCAACCACTTCCGCAGACGGATAATCGGGTTGTCGCGACGCTTCCAGTCCTCCACCTCAACTCGGGCTCGATAGGCAAAGCTATCGTCACTGGTGCTATGGTGTGAGACACGATAGCTCATCGCCTCAATGAGGACTGGCTTGCCGCCGTCAGTCAGAGCGATTCGCCGTGCCTCACGCATCGCTTCGTAGACCGCAAATATGTCATTGCCATCAACGCGGATGGTGTCGATTCCGTAACCAATTCCACGACTCGCGATGCCATCACCGCGATACTGCTCCAGAGTCGGAGTTGAAATGGCATATCCATTATTGCGACATATGAAGACTACGGGGCAGGATCGTGTCGCGGCTATGTTGAGACCTGCATGGAAATCGCCTTCGCTAGCAGCACCTTCGCCAAAGTAGCAGGCTACGATCCGAGGCGGTATATCAGGGTTCTGGAGGGTTTGCAGCTTCAAAGCATAGGCAGCGCCAGAGGCTTGCGGTATTTGAGTTGCGAGAGTTGAGGAAATTGTGTGCTGTACCGGTCAGCAATTATACATCAAAGCTCCCCCTTCGTACGGGTCACTGACAGTTCTGGGATAACTTTTGCCATAGTGAACGGGCATATTGCGGCCTCGGCTATTGTCGTGCTGATTGGCAAAGAGTTGGCTCATAAACTCTTTCAGAGTGAATCCTCGCTGTTGAAAGACTCCAGTCTCACGATACTGAGCGAAAACCACGTCGTCGGGAGTCAATGCAGCTGCGGAGCCAACGCTGATACCCTCTTCTCCGGCAGAAACCTTTACGAGCAGTTAAATTCTCTCCGTAGCAGATGCTCATAAGCTAGGTGAGAGCGGGCTTCTCACCATGTAAAAACTCAATCGGCCTTGTCTCTGAGCCTCGAACATTATGACATCCATGACGCTCACTAGCCTTGATCAGATGCCAAGTAGTCACCGTAGAGAATAAGCTCCCACCTACCCGTCAACATATTCTTGTACCATTCCAGTATCTTTTCCTTCGGTATATCGAGGGGCTTGCGCGTCTTATCAACCAGGACTCCGTCGGAGTCCATGACTCGGTAAGTAGGGATGTTGGACACTTCGGTGGGGTTGATGAACTCCATATCGGTGGTGAATTTGCTGTTGACAGCGCCTGGAAATCGAACTCTAAGAGATAACTTTTAGTGATCAAGCTCATGACTTGGCTTAAATGAAAGTCTTGCGGGGCGCCATACCGGTCAGATCCCGGACGCTGCGATATAGAGCTACCCCATCGCTGAGAAATCACTGGTAAACGTGCGTATGAGCGACTTAAAGAACGCGAGATGCTGAGAACCATGGTGTATCTCTATGCGGTGCTGAAATCATACAACGATGCTGTAATAGAAAAAGAGAACCTCTGGCATGCTCGGGCAGCTGCTATCTATCCAGTCTCCCTGGAAATCCTGGGGAATGCGGAGAAGGCGGTTGGCCTCGGCCTCGACGTCACATGGACACCGGGGATAGCCGCCGCGATTGGGTAGTCGAGTTTGCTTTGTTTGCGCAGATGACCTAATACACATAGGTGATCTACCTGCAAGCACATGACCAAAAGTAAGATCTTCGTTTGAATATCATGCACATCGTTTATCGATCCTTGCTGGTATTCCTGACATTGTGTGGGTGATCCAAAAGTTTGACAACGGCTTCTGGGCTCGGTATGGGTCGGCCGAGACTAACGAGCTCGGTGAGCCTGTGAGGAGGGAGAGCTTGTTCCTTCGGCATGCCGATCCTCGGGCCGTGTTTCCGTGTGAGCCGTTGGTGTGAAAGCATGGACTTTTTCGACCCGGTGGACTGTATCTCACCCATCTCTATCAGGTTTCAAGACACACAGTACGCACTCCTCTCCCTCGACAGACAGGAACTTCCAAGGGTTTGCGGCTGAGTCGCGGTCACACAGACTATACCCGAGTACAGCTCACTCAGGTCTGACAGCCTTGCTCAAGAGCTGTGTGAAATGTGAATGGCAGCTTCAAGTCTTTCCATCAGCTCTGTAGTCATCTGAGACACTGACTGGAGCCCCATAGCACGTTCCATCTCAGGCTAATGAGTGGCATAATGACTAAATCCCGGCTAATCATGCTACTTCGCCAGCAACATTAACAAGACGGGACACTCCCTTTCTTCTTTCTGCTTGAACCTCCTCGTATCTGTGCTCGACAGAATGACTCGTTAGCTAGAGAAACAGATTACATCGGGTGCAGTCGGAGTCATACCTGCATCAAAGGCCCAGATCTCTTCGCTTAGAACAAGACCATAACGCTAATGGTAGAGCTATGGCGTTTTGAAAGGTGTTCGCGTATACACCGGGTTAGCACGGAGCGACTAATGATGAGTCGGCTGTACTGGACGGAAATACTATTAGGAGTTGTGCACCAGAAGTTGGCACCAGAACCAAGATCCGCTGACACGGACAATGAAGTAGTTATTCGACCTATATACAATATTAGAGTAGATCGACTGGTGGAGCTATAGCTCCGCTGTTGCTCGTGGAAGATACCGGATTGCGTATGGTCGACGAGCAGGGGTCGTGTAGATTTCCTTCTTGCGCTTGAACCGAGGTACTGAGTATAAGGTTGATTGCCATTACGCGCGGAGATTACCTTTTTCACCACCCACCGTCGACAAAGATGCTGGATTTGAAGCTGTAAAAGAACAAATGGGACGGACATCGTTCCGATGTCTCTCTTGCTTGACTAGAGTATATATTTTTCACCGTAATAAATGCTAACGCTCGGTCGGCGGGAGCTGGCGAACTGCCTAAAAGGGTAATCATCGCCTTTTCCTCCCCTCCCATCCCATCCCTTGTCTCTTCCACTTTGTCCGACTGCCCTCTTACTACTTTCTATTTCTATCATCCACATTCTCCTGCTCAGCTCTTCACTCTGTCTTCAACTTCCATCATACCCCTAGTAAATATACTCATCCATAATACTTTACTTCTTCTTTCCCCCTCCTCTTATACCTAGACGCTACCGCCTCCCTGTTTCAACTCTCCGGCTACTGCCGAGTGCCGCGCAGCCATTTAGCGATTGATCGACCGAACGGGCCAACCAAATCCCATGCACCATGGATCCGCTTACTTCCCTCCGGCAGCTGGTCCAAACCCATCCTCTCATCGATAACCACGCCCATAATCTCCTCAACAAGTCTAATGCGAGCAACTATGCAAAGTACGCTTTCGAGCAAATCACCTCAGAAGCACAAGGCGTTGCTTTAGAAAATGCGCCTCTTACGTTGCCGCTCCAACGGGCTGCTCATCAACTTGCAAGCCTGTATGACTGTCCCTCTAATGATTGGGACAGCGTCAAGGCGGCTCGAGACAAATGGGTAGAGCGCGATTATGATGACCTGATCCGTCGCTGCCTCGAAGGAACGCATAGCCTTCTCCTGGATGATCTTCTGACTGACGAGGATATTGAGTCGTTTGACTGGCATGATCGCTTCACTGCAGCTCCGACTAGGCGAATTGAACGGATTGAGGTGGTGGCCGCCCAGGTTCTCGCCTCCATTCTACCAGAAGGATACTCGGAGTCCTTGGATGACGTGACCACTTTGAGAGAGACCTTTGATCAATTCCGTGGAAGCTTTCATCAAAATATCGAGAAGGCTATTGCAGACCCCGTCGTAGTGGGGTTCAAATCTGTCGTTTGCTATCGAACTGGCTTGAACGTTCAATCCGCTGACGACGAGGGTGATGACAGTCCTTTACTGCAGTCTTTGGCCCGAACAATCCAGCAAGGGAGTGGTTCCTCATACCGTATCGAAGACAAGCCCTTGAACGACTGGGTGGTTCGGCAGACTCTGGACTTGGTCCAAGCCGCCCGTACAAGAACCCCTTCAGGCCCTAATAAACCACTGCAACTTCACACTGGACTGGGTGATAACGATATCAACTTGATTCTCTCAAACCCCGCCTACTTACAAGATTTAATTGCTCGATATCCCAAGGTGGACTTTGTTTTGTTACACTCTTCTTACCCCTACACCCGCGAGGCAGGTTACCTTGCATGCGTGTTCCCTAATGTCTATCTGGATCTAGGAGAAGTGTTTCCGATGGTGAGTCGAGATGCTCAGGAGTCTATAATCAGAGAGAGCTTGGAAATAGTGCCGACCAACCGGCTCCTGTGGAGCACTGACGGCCACTTTTATCCGGAGACGTACTGGCTTGCTAACAAGCAATTTCGCGATGCACTGGAGAAGGTTCGTACGAACTGCATATAACTTGTTGACGTCGAAAGCTTACCCAGTTCAGGTTCTTGTGGACTATGTCCGTCAAGGTGATTTCGCCATTGACCAGGCTAAAACAGCAGCCGCAGATATCCTTTTCCAAAATTCGAATCGCCTGTACAGTTTGAACGAGACTGCGGCTTACGACGAGATGCATAAGCCTTTTTCTTGGCCCTTACAGGGATCATCAAGTGATGAATGGGAGTGTTTTGTACGAAACAATCCGGGTGTTAAGTACATATGGCTGCAGTTCTTCGATTACACCGCGACGTTACGCCTACGCATTTTTCCGGTGCAAGAATTTACCAAGATTGTACGCAAGCAACGTCGCATTGGAGTCTGTCTAGCCACTCAGCAGATGCTTCAAAATGACTCAGTATGCCCCGAAGGCTCTACAACCGGCCAGTTCTACATGCAACCAGATTTATCTACTCTTTCTCGCAATGTAGGGCTGGACTCCAAAAGTGCAACCGTTATGAGCTGGTGGTTTACAGAGGAAGGCACACCCCTCCCGGGATGCCCTCGAAGCCTTTTACGAAATGTGACTGCCCGGCTGCAGACTGAACACGAGATTCAAGTCCTTTGCGGCTTTGAGATCGAAGTTGTGTTTATGAAATGCATTACAAACCCCGATACCAACGAGGAAGACTTCATTCCGTGTGTTGAAAATCACTCTTGGTCCCAAATGACCAGGGAGACCAGGCGTATGGTACCTTTACTCGAAGAGATTGCCGAGACTCTGGCGTCTATCGGCATTGACCTCCAACAATTCCACGCCGAATCCGCTCCTGGTCAATTTGAATTTGTCCTTCCGCCTGGGTCACCTGTGGCGGCGGTTGATACCCTCCTCAAAGCACGACAAGTAGTAACCCAGGTTGCTGAACAACATGGCCTGCGCGCGACGTTGCATCCCCGTCCTTATCCTCATGCTGCTGGCACAGCTTCTCACGCGCACCTTTCTATCACCCCATCTACGAAGGAGGATAGCTTTCTTGCCGGTATTCTCCAGCACTACCCAGCCTTGATGGCCGTTGCTCTTGCTGGAGAGGTTAGTTATGATCGGGTCTGCTCTGGACTATGGGCTGGAAGCGAGTGGGTTACCTGGGGTACTCAGAACCGCGAATCGCCGATCCGAAAAATCTCCGCAGGGCACTGGGAGATTAAGACCTTGGACGGACTCGCAAATATGTATATAGCCATGTCGGCATTTTTGGCAGCGGGTTACCTTGGCTTGAAGAACAATGAACCGTTGACGGCTTCTGATTGTCCATGTGAGTATCTCCAGTTGTGGTTTCATATGCGAGAATCTGCCTTTGCGTTTCACTCTTGCTGACTAAGGACAGACGACGCTGCAACCTTGGATGAAGCGGGCCGTCAATCTTATGGTATCACTACACAACTGCCAAAGTCGCTTTCTCAAAGTCTTAATCATCTAGAAGCGGACACTGCTCTGCAGGACATACTTGGAGCAACCCTCGTCGAGAACTACCTTCTCGTCAAACGCGCAGAGAAAAAGAAGTTGGATTCGATGGACGAAGATACACGGAGACAGTGGCTGTTGGAGCGATATTGATCCGAGCGGAGTGCATATATAATCACATAGCGAAACGATTTTCTTGACACGGCCAATACGGATATCTTTTTCGGAGTAACATCCGTTCCAGCTGGTAACTACACAAAGGTGTCTGTTAGCGGACCTAAATGTCGAATGAATAATGTTGATTCCTGGGGTTCGAAATTCGAGTTGCAGGCATCTTCTAGATGGGCCATCCCAGCATTGCCTCTTACATCACTTGTAGACGGATTGAAAGGCGGCAGAGTTATTACTTTATTATAAACAAAAGGGTTATAGAATACTTATGGCATCGCAGGATTAGTTGAATAATGTAGTTGACTAATTAGTATACTGCTCAGAAGACACCTGAGAATCATGACCTCGTATAGGGCTCAGCCGCTTGCGCGCCGCGCACCAAAAAAGTAAACAAAGATTGATATACACTCAGACAGTAGACAGGGGTATCGAACAGTTTTCATCATCGGACATTGTTAGTCAGCCGTAAGCTCATCTCGAAGACATTCCCATCAGCTCTCCGAGTTCATCACTGGTAAGTGTACTTCTGCG